CATCTCTGGTTCACATAATTATATTTAGAGGATTATATATTGTCCTAGAAATAATACCAAGAAATGATGTTAATGTAATTTTCAGACCGTTTTAAGCCAGTTATCCAATAATATTAATATAAAAACAAAGACCTATTAATTCTTAAGGATATTCAGTCTGGAAGTTGATGACCTGATTACTGTAATAGAACGAGACTGCTACTGCTCACAATGAAAATGGAGCGTGATTTACAGTCGCAAGGAATGACAATGGGATTAGATCTGAACTGAATGTTATTACAAACCATCTATGTTCATGTTAGGCTACCTATATTGTAGACTACATCACACGATGCAATAAAACACTACTTCTCTCGATTTAACACACATTTATTCAATTTAGAGCTGATTTCACAAGAAAAGTCTCTGACCTGAGTTGTGGATCACAGGGATAGTCAGATGTTCATAAATGAATCATCTGTGGTGGGAGCTTCTTGAGTGTTTTAACCGAGAAAAATTTCATGATGTTAAGCCGTACGAAGCGAAGCAGATTTAACAAGTTGCGGCATTTTAATTTGGAAAGGCTCAAAGCTTCTGCTGAATGGTCAGCCATGTTAAGGATATCAACCTGATCTTTCCGGGTGGATTTCGGATGCTGTCCTCTCACTGTGTCTGTGTGATTCCCCTTCCACTCTGCAGTCCAAGGACTGCGAGTGTGCGTTTGTCTGAATCTCTGTTTGGTGGACTAACGATGCTAAGTTTGAAAAGTTGGAGATAAAAAGAATAAATGGATGTGGTGAGAGTGCCATTTAAAGACAAACTCTACCCAGGCATCACATGCATTCTCCCATGGATTATACTAAGATACCAACAATCCTGCACACTCATATATTACAGTAGTAACTTGTCAATAACAAAGTATCAATACTTTAAAGTGTACCCTGCTTTATCATTTATTTACCACACCATAAATTACAGTAGATGACCTTAAACCTTTGCCTGGAAAGCCTAATCTCATCAGGCAGTGTGTAACGAGAAATCACCCACAAACAAGAAGTAGGAACTTTCTTTTGTACAGTTGGACTCTTTTTTGCAACCACAGAAGTCGCCCCCTGCTGGTCAATACTGGCCTCTCTTTTCAGACCAGGAGGCTACATCCTATCTTTTGTATATTTATGACACCCAAATGTTTGCTCTGCTGTTAATACTTTGTTTCAGCCTGTAAACGTTTACCTGAACACCAGGTTTCAGGAGTATTTGCCTTTTGTGTCTACCATTTCCTGAGTTCTGGCAATTCAATCAATGCTAGTTTAAAAAAAAAAGCACATCTCCATGATTTGACAGCGTGGATGTGTTGTGACAGGCAAGATACTGAAAACGTGTGTACTGCAAAACACAGAAATCGGTGCTGTGTGAACTCATTTTTGAAGGGCTCAGGTGTGACTGATGTTCATTTATATGTAAAAGTCCAGCAGCGTTGATAAAACCATCAAAGCCGGCAAAGAATCTGAAGGTAAACTGATCAGAGATATAAACTGAATCATCTACTGCATTAACATATTCTTAGTATGTATGCAGACATAACACTAAAGCAGTGAATCCTTTCCTCAATACACCTAGGACGTCTCGGTTAATATCTTGAGGTACAAGTTGTTGATGATGATGACATGTATACCTTTCTACTTTTGTTCTGAAAAATATCGCCATTCCTATAAACACACACAAAAAAAACAATGCCATGCACTCTCAATAGCATGCCAAAGCATCAGGTGAGGAAGCTCATCTGTAACCGAAGGTCGCCTTATCGATCCCCGGGCTCTCTGTCCTGGTCATTGTGTCCTTGGGCACCCTACCGCCTACTGGTGTTGGCCAGAGGGGCCGATGGCGCAATATGGCAGCCTCGCGTCTGTCAGTCTGCCCCAGGGCAGCTGTGGCTACAACTGTAACTTGCCTCCACCAGTGTGTGAATGTGAGAGTGAAAGAATAGTGGCATTGTAAAGCGCTTTGGGTGCCTTGAAAAGCGCTATATAAAACCAATCCATTATTATTATTATTGTACTTTTCATTGAAAAATCATTTAAAAGAACCTGATAATTTGTATTTAGCTGTTAATAATTTAGAGCTTCATGCCGTCCAGGTGTAGCACCGAGTCCTTATTCTATATTCTATGAGAAAAACATCCATAAATTATCCTTCCTGGACCAGCAGTGCCCAAAATAGCTCCCCCCTCACTCCAAGCTCAATAGCAGCTTAACTAACATAGTTACGCTTGATTTATAGTACCCACATCCAATCTACAGCGTAGGCCTACACCCTATGCTGTAGCTTGACCTGCGCCTCCCCAAAATATGTTACTACACGTCGCAGCGATGCAGCAGCTGTGACAGGTCTGACTGGTGGTAATATGCACACATTGATTAGCACAAGGCTCGTGACTCTGTGAAACAAAATGTAATAGGCTGTAATTGTATTTAGTGTGCCCATTATTCTACTGCAACAGCTAGTATTCTGCCAGTGTGGACACAGGCTGTTTTTCTTGTTGTCACAGCTCTGTGTGACATTATGTGTATAGAATCAAATGTGTATAAAGTGTTCTCTTCTCCCTGCACTTGATTAAAAGTAACAGTTGTTCAATATTTACCAGCTCCGAGTTGAAAATGATCAGCCGAGTTTCACTTGTACGGACGGAGCAATGCAGACGGACCAGCTCACAACGTCACGCACTGTGACAGGGATTCAATGCAGTACTATGAATGAAGCTGTAACTCCGCTTTTTTGTTAGATCTGTGACCAGGTAATTACTGGAAGATATCTTTTATCTCAAAATTCCCTGTAAGTCGCTTTGATTTAGCTCATTCTTACTAATAGGAATTTGAAATAGCTTGTTATATATGTTTCAATGTGAAGTCAAACGCAGTTAGAGTGAATTTAAGATTGGACTGCTTTAATGAGCTACTGACATATATGAATCATCCTGTCAATATCAAATACTTTAGTCTTAACCTGCTTGCAGGACTCCCACCCAAGAAGTGTACTGTAATTAATCTGCCAGCTCTCTTTGAACTGCATGGCTCCGTCTAACCATGTAGTTATTTCAATATGGATGAGGACCTCGGGGCTTAGACAGTTTTTGTTGTGGGGATACGGGGATTAATCGCTCAACAGCTTGTCCTTCCTTAATGAAATCCGTGTACTTTACTCTTTTGCCCTTTTCAGGAAAATGGTTTCCTGGCAGTGCATAAATTTGGCAGCCTGTCTTCAAGCTCCTGAGCATCTAATGAAATTATTTGACCTGCTGATCTATGAGTCATTTAGAAGAATGTGATGTTAGGCCACTGAACTTCCAAGTTGACTGGACTCTAAATATCCCATTGGCGATATAACTATTAGTAGGCGGATGTTCGTAAGCACAAAAGGCAACATTCTGATGCCACTGTTGTACCTCCCAACATTGGTATGTGTTAATTTTTTTTGCATTAAAACATAATGAGCATACAGCTGTAGCCTGAGGTAAAGATAATTTAAGAGTCTTTCATCTCTCCTGAGCTGCACTAATGCACTTTCCTCCTTTTCCAGTTTGGCATTTTTTTTTTCCTATGATGTAACTACGTGGCTCTCAAGTGCAACACTTTGAAGCACTTTAACCCCTGGAGCCGGTCCAACACTTCCACATAAGCACACGCTTGTTAATCTGTGCAAGCAGCTGGAAAACAAAGTGACAGCTGCAACGTGCTTGAAACTACTTGAACATCTGCTCCAAAACTTGTGTACTTCATTCAAAGGTGGACTGTAGACAAAACCACCTGCCTAAACTAATACAAGCACACAAACCTCCCGTGAGACATCTTTAGCATACATGAATTGTCACCAACTCTGTGATGAGCTACTTTGATAATTCATTGTTCAAACCAGTAGGTCCCAACATGTTGGTACTCATCCTCCAATAAAAGGACAAAGTTTAATCAGAAAAGCAATGTGGAGGTTATTTGTATTTGAAAGGAGAACAATTTTTGTGACATTTTCCTCCTTCGCAAGCTAATAAAAGGTTGAAAACCACTGGCTTAATCACATTTAAGCCAAAATAGAAATACAAAAATTCACATTCAAATTTACTGCATGGGTTGATTTTATGTAATAGTAGTGACTTAGATTTCTTTAAAATAGGAAATATCACAATAATAATACTAAAGTTAATGATGCGGTGCCATTTAGCCGCTTCAATTTCAGAGTCCTGAATGCACCAGAGCCTTACGTGACGTTACAAACTCGGGGCTGTGCGTGTGTGAATGAGCATGTCTGCTGAGAAAGCCCTGCTGCTGACAAAAATAACGCTCAGTTGCGGGGCACGTTTAATTAATTTCAATAAAATATTAATAGGAGAGTTAGAAACGCAAACTGCAGCCTTTTATAAATAATTGATGACGATTATCAGTTAGTACATATAGAGCTTGGTACATGAGGTTTATTAAAAATTATTCATGCACCCACAAATTTGCAAAGATGGACCCGCAGCACTCAGCCTCGTACGCGCACAGGTGCGCACACACCTGGAGCTGCGAGCCACTGAGCAGCTCCAGAGAAGACGTCTTATTCGTACAACCGCACTCTTAATTTGTCTCCAGCGACAGTAAAATTAAATCAGATCCCGCATCCTCAGAAATCTCCAAGCCTTCTGAAAAGCAAAGAAACAGGAAGAGGATCTTTTGCTGTATGAAGTGCTTAAATGACTCTGAGGTGTTGATTCTGCGCGATTTAGTTACAGTGCGACAGCCCACGCTGTGAGATCAAGCGAGTTGTTCGAAAAGGTGCATCCACTCATTAAAATACTGAGAATGGAAAAGCAGTGGTTACAAACTTTAATCCGAAAAGTGCCTCAAATAAACACATTTCCAGTTACTTAGTTTCTCACTTCCAGTTGAACAACTTTTTAATCATTTACACGACTAAAACAAAAACCACAATCTTCCTATACGTTCTGCACCAGATGTTTAAAGTGCCAGTAATGACCTCCTCATACTCACATCTGTGATTGCGACGCCTGCCTTTGTACATGGTCATGACGAGCGTGGAAACAAAACGGGTGATGCTGTGGCTGAGCCGACTTTGCCTCCTCTTTCTCCTAAAAACCAGACAGACTGCCGGAGCACCTCCAGACTCCGAGCAGAGCTGAGCGGAGCCGCTCTGGACCGTACCATTAATCCACCTATTCCAGGGGGAGCCATAGACGCAAACGCTCCGCTATGCTCCAATAGCAAAAGCACAGAAGGGGAAGTAAAAATCCTGCTTTCACGTCTTTGCGCGGTTTATTTGCTGAGAATTAAAATGCGTTAATTATAATGATTATCTAAGGATGGCAGAAAAAAATACTGGCTACTCTCCCCTTAAAGTTTTGCCTAATAGGAGTTGTTGTAATATCTGGTATTTTTTGTGGAGCCCCTGAAGCCAAAAAAAAAAAAAAATCTTGAAGAAGCTGTATGACTCCAGTAGATAAGTCGTCCAATGTTTTATATATTTTGCCCATGGCTACATTCAAAGTCTCTCCATTCCTTCACAAAGTGTTTACCAAATTAATTAATTTCTCCTGTAATGTTTAAATATTTTCAAAAGATGCCACACATCATATTTCACTTACTTACTGGCCAAAATATGCTTTTGTTATTATTAGAAAATTTTGTCTTATATTCTAATTTTCTGTTACATATAAACAGTTCCAGTGTTGGATGTTCTTATTAAACATGGTCAAAGTTTTCAAAAATTAGGTCAGTGTAGATGTGTTATCCCCATGAGACAAAAAAAAGAGCTGAGGCTCTACTTTTTTCTACTTTCTACATAGCTACACTCACTTGCAGTTCAAACCTTCTCTTTTCATGGGGCAGCCAATAAGAAAAGGGTTGGCTTAAAGTGAGGGTGCCGGAAAGAGAGAGAGGGTTGACCGAGTGTCTGCCCCAACCCCCACTGTATGTTGAAAATCATTTATTTTGAACTATGCTGATCATGCAAAGCTGCTTCAGTAGAATCCACTTTAATCTAAGACTACTGAATCTAAAATAGCCATGATAGATGCAGAAAAATGTAACTGTCATGTCACAAACATGGCATGTTTAAAAGACAGTTTTCAAAGACTCCACAGATATGTCCTTAAAATATGTTCTTTGGTAATCTGACAGTTAATGATTGAATGGATGGATGGATGATTTGTTTTTCTACACATCAAAATAAATTAATAAATTAGGATAACATCAGTTTACATCCCCATTGCATTCACCATCTCATTATTTCCATCGTCTTTAAAGGTGAAATATTTCTCTACAGTGAATGGTAATCAAATAATTTAAAGGTTACACAGATTCTTCCTGACTTACAGGGTTCTCGTTGTTCTCAGTTTGATGGTGAGGAGATGAAATTCCATTTAATTTGCAATAACAGTTACCTCAAGGTGCTTTATAATGTGAGGTAAAGACCCCACACTAACATAGAGAAAACCCAGACAATCCGGCGCCCCCCTATGAACAAGCACTTGGCAACAGTGGGAAGAGTCAGGCTGAGGGAGGGGCCGCCATCTGCTGCGCCAGGTCGGTGGTGAATAGACCCACTAGGCAAAAAGGGTGGGGTTACATAGACTAATGGGTGTCCATGAGACTCACAGGTGACCAATATGATTGATGCCGGGTGTATCAAATAGGCTTAGCCTTAAAAATCTTCATTTAAAAAAATAAAAATGAACATAAAATACTTGCATCCAATCTACAGTGTAGGCCTATTATAAAGCGAAAACAGGAGCACTGAGCAGCACTGTTCCAGTTTGCATAATCATGACCAGATGTAAATAAACATACATGTGTGATATTGTTATGTAAAAATTGCTGGCAAGGGGAAACGTTTTGATAACTTTCTGGGTTCTTGATTTTAGCCGACCTGGCCTGTGACCTAGGAGATTTGAGCAGGCTTAGCTTGCATGCAGGTGAACAGCTCATGGCATTTGTCCAGATAGCCTTGAACTTTCGTCAAATTATGTTTCCACTTATTTTTCTTTTCTAAACAGTGCCCAGAGAGAAACAGCACAGAAAAACTGACCTTTGCCCACATTAGCCCAGACTGGGTCCCCAAAAGAGAAATGGGGTTGTATCAAACATAAAGCTGTGAATTGTGCGCTCACATGTGTGAGTCTGCACTTGTGAGCGGCCCTCTCTAACTCACTTAACCCAACAATGATATAAAAATAGTGATTGGTACAACAACAAAGATGCACACGTGTGTGCACTGTACACTCTAAATATAGACTTCTGCATTGTGTGAACACTTGCCCAGTCATAGATAATATGTTTAACATGTTTAATTACATACACACAGACTGTTGTATTCATTTTATTATTATATAATTTCAACTGTAAGAACTGTTAAGATCTTATCCTTAGTTCCATGATGCTTTATAGGTATAATGACTACATGCAAGCATAAAAAAAGGTCATTCTTTCTATTAATCACAGAATTTTAACCAATCTTTTTAGCAGAATTAACAAAACAAAATCTAATCACGGGGGTCACAAATGAACGATTCATTTGATATTTGAGCTACATCTTTAAAAAATGTCCTGATTTTTCTGTCCTCTAAAGCCACAGAAATTTTCTGTGTGACCTCACTATTCAAATGGCATCCTGTCATAAAAGTAAATCAGCCTCCCATTGTCACTGTCTCTCATTCATCAATCAGGGTTTTTAATTCATTTTAAAGTGGATAGCCTGTGGACTTAAGAGACAGATTAAAAAAAAAAAAAAATCAGCAGTGTGTCTAAAGGAGCCGACTCCCCAGCTGTTGCAGCTCTTAGGCTTGGATGAAGATGAAGCTTTGTAATTGTGATATCTAATTACACTGACATGGGGTTTGCAGCTGCCTCGTGCAAAGCCTGAAGTCTTAATTGTTTCTTTGTTCTCACAAAAAAAAGACAAGAAACTAAAAGCTCGTGAAGAAAACAAGCTGAGTGAGACGATTTGTGGCTTCAAGTCGCCGAAATCCAACTCCAGTGTCATCAGCTATTGTCTCAATTTGACATCTCTTAAGAAAGAGTAAAAATACCGCTGTGTGACTTAAGTGGTGAAAATACTGCGTGACAACAACATATAATATATATATATATAATTGTGTTCTGGCATATTTTCAAAAAAGTGGCCTGAGGCTAATTTAGAAATAAACCACATTGAGTGGCAGGCGAAGAACTTTCTAACAAACAGAGAAAAATCTTTTTGTGGAATTTAATGATTCATAAATGGAAAAATGCGATTGGATATTCTGTGCAGGATGCATGCAGTCTTTCCCTCGCTGACTACAAATGAATGATACATGCTGAGGGACAGCATGAGATGTCCCAGTTTTGGTCTCAATGCTATTCTCTCAGCACCATCTAGTGTTCATGCAGATGAGAAATTAATAAATGCATCAGCAGAGGCCAACAAACTGCTGCTATTGGAAAGAAAACAGAGGAACCTTTAGACAAAAGTTTAAGCATTAATATATGAATGTCAATGTGGCCTCACAGCAAGAAGGTCCTGAGTCCAGCTGGTCTTTCAGTGTGAAAGACCCCAGCAGGTTCTTCCTGTGTCTGCGTGGGTTATGTCTGGGTATTCCAGGATCTTCCTACAGTCCATCTTGTACCAATTGGTGACTCTAAGTGAATGCGAGCGTGAATGATTGTCTGTCTCTCTGTGTTAGCCCTGCAAAAGCCTGCCAACCTGTCCACTGTGCACCCCTATGACAGCTGCAATAGGATACCCCACTCGTGCAACCCTGAACTGGATAAGCAGAAGAACATGAATCAATATAAATATCAAATTAGCAAAAGAAAAACAAACAGGCATCTAATCAGTCCTCTGTATTGATTTTATGCCATTATTCTTGTGCGTATAACGACGTTTGTTCTCCTTTGTTATCTTTTTCGTTCCTGTGAAGCCCTTCAAAACATACTATATAAATTGATTTTAAACTAAAGCAATCTCAAAGAAATGTTTCTCCTTGTGGGGTTATTTTTATTTAAGATGGAGTTTCAGTAAACAAGCCTACAATTAAACTATTACTAGTTAACTACTACAATGTAACACCTTTCCTGACTCAAACTCACAAGTGCAGAATTTATTATAGGACCATCCGTTCTTCTCAACTAAACGCCAGGATTTCACAGGTTTTACTGTAGTATCTATTTCAACCACAGGGAGGCACTCAAACACTACAAGACTGCTGTCACCCATGAACGCTCTCAAACACTATAAACCTAAGCAAGATGTGATCACACAAACACTGATTATGAAAAATGAATGTGGGAAATATCAGTACATCTGTGTCCAGATTTTATCCACAGAGACATTACAAGAAGGGAAGCTGAGTGAGTAAAAAAAGAAATGAAACCCTCCCCTATGACCAGCAGACATCTTCATCAGGGCCCAAGAAGCGGTTGCGAGACGAAGACCGCATCAGGGTGATTGAATGTCACTTTTAGTCACATTTAACACTTTAAGTCATTGTATCTGCAATCCAGTCATGTCTGAAGAAATTAAAGCAGGTAAAGCAAGCACGTCAGTATCTCATTGCTATCAAATCTACTCATGCAAGGGGTGCTGTGGTACCTCAGCAGGCTGAGCTGCTCACTGCAGGATATACAGGTTTGATTCTGACCTTGTAACATTCCTGTCACATATCATACCTTCACACAGCTGCATTTTCTGTCATGCTTCAGTGAATATAATTTAATTAAAAAAAATGTTAAGGAAAATATCAAGCATTAATATCTTAGGCAGGCTGCAGATGCCTGTTCATGTTTAAAAGATAAGGTGTTTAGGGTTAAATTTCTTGGAAGAATAAAGGCAGAAGAGATTACTTCCAAAGTAGGAAGAGACATTACTTTAGGCAACTACAGAGCACCTCAGACACTTACTACTGTGCATTGTTAATATACTGGATTTAATGTCGGTGTGTGTGTGTGTGTGTGTGTGTGTGTGTGTGTGTGTGTGTGTGTGTGTGTTTGCGCGCACAGATGGTCAGACAATCAAGAGCAGCCAGTGGAGCCTCAGTATGGCACACTAAGCAAAGTAGTATTTCACTTTGGCTGCTGTATGAAGCTCAGATGACGTGTTGACCCGAGATCTTCTCTAGACACTCTTTCTGTGTGTTTCTCAGAGAATACAACTGTGTCAGCATGCATAACAATGAGGCGAGCTTCTTTTAGCAGAGCAAAGGGGACATG